GAACTTTTAATTATTTTACCACGACAGAAATTTAATTCGCGGCTATGCTAGTTTTTTTCCTGATCACGCTAAAAAGGCTAAATTGACAATTATATATTTTTTTTGTAAAAAATTGCAGAACTTTATTCAGGAGATGATGGATACATTGCATAGATCACACACTTTGAGTCGGCCCCAAATCACCAAAATTCCCGAGAACACGACAAAGTGCGAATCCAGGCCACGTACATAATTTTTTGTCTCAGTATTCAAGTGCCGACGTACCATGCGGGTGCATTTTGTGATCCAGTCCAGTTTTGTGACACCGTAATAAGCGTTTCTTATCCAGTGCTAAGCGTTCGTGTGTTTTCTTCGCACGGGCTAACGTCTTTAACTCTTAGCCCGGAGCTGTGCAAGATATGTCGATATATTGCATACTTGTTGATTTGAATTATTATCTGTTTTTAAAAAAATGACACAACTAGTAATGACTAAAACGAAAATAATTAATTATAGACAGATTTTGACACAAAATATTGTCAGCTATATACGCTGAAATATATACACACCTCAGAAGCGCATGAGTAGCATTCTATCTATAAAGAAGCCATTCGCGAGATTATATTCGTGATGATGCGATATTCTGTGTCCAAACCAGTTTCAATTAAGACAAGATAATTTATGTCGTCACATTACAGATTGGATAAATAGATACACTATTCAATATATATTCAGTGGCTCGCGGTGTCTCGCCAATAAATCCCGTTCTCAATGGAAGTGATGGTCACGTCAAATCAGCAATGAAACTGCGTATAATTAAATAAATTGCCCATAGCAGGCCTTGTTTTTTTTCAATCTGTAATTTGACATTTTCGTCTTCTGATTAACTGACGGTGTCTGAATATATTATTTCAGTACATCTAATGTCAAGGGTTCGCCATTATAGAATACATTTTGAACCGCGCAATATATCGTTATCGAGTCACAATTACTAATACAAGTCCATTCATGAATGTCGTGGATTTGTTAATAGGGATAATAGACGGAACACACACGTCATAATATAGCTTACTTACGAGAATGCCATATAATATAAAAAAACAACAACAATTGATGAATCGATGCATGCACAGACTTCCGAGAATTAAATGCTCGGAAATAGGGCTCGGGACATATCGGGGGAAATCGGAACTGGGGAATGATTTTGTTTTGCGGCGCACCACTGTACAGTGTACTTATGACAGAATACACAAAATTGCTCACTGGGTAACAGTTTTACACCTACGCACTAACGTACGCGTGTTATAACCTTCCCGTGTTGCCATGGCAACGTGACATCATATCGTATCGATTGCCTTCATTGTATCGTACCTTAATGTTTATTCAAGGCGATTTCGTGTCTTATTGACTACGGACATGCGCAGAACGCAACTCACGAGAAAGGCTGCTGTCAGAGAATAGTTAATGAATGCATGACGTATTTGAATACGTCTTATCGGGAAATGACAGAAGGAGAACGACATAGGATTTGCGTTTGTCTTCTATTTTAACTCGCCTTGTCTTTGTATTGCCGCTCTCCAAGGTAGGTGTTTATCATATTTGTGTCGATAACATCATAAGTACATTTTATCATTTTCGTAACTGCGTTTACGTGTGAGCTGCTGTGAACCATGTAGTTTCTAAGGTGAAAAAAAAATAAAAACATACACGACGGAATATACTAGTACGCAAAATATATTCGTTGTTTATAGCAAAGCGTATTTTTATTTGGTCAGACCCGCTCCTCGCTATATTTATGTCCGATTCGAAAAAATATATAAATTCAGCTTTTCTCAGAAACAATAAAAAATATTTGTGTATGAATTAACTACCGTCTGCGCCATGGTTTAAAATTAAATATTAAAGTCGCAGTTTCAAGATGGCGGCGACTCGCTGGATAGGTTCCTCGGCGACTAGATATCATCTCGATCACGTAAACTCGATCGAGAAAAAAAAACATTTCCATTTCACTGATCGTGAGGGTATATATATTTTTTTTCAAATTTAATAGTCATCCATGTTTTTGAATGTATGTCTTCAATTGTGTCGTATTTTCTAAATTAACGATAGTAACTGTGCCGAGGCGATAATGGCGATTCAACAGTAATTAATAAGCGTCGACATATTTTAGTATTTGAGAATATAATAATGATGTTATTCTAAAACAAGTGTTTTTTTTCCCCACAAACAGATATTCCTTTTGACTGTCACCACGTCTAGAGATTTGTGTTCAACATGATGTTGAAATTATTATTGATTTGTGGTATTTTTATGACGGTGCGTGGGAGTGGACTTGGACTCTCACCTGCCGATAGGCTAGCGCTACGAGGACTCCTACAGGAAGCGTACTATGGTACACGCGAAGACGAGAACATGGAGAGCAACGAATTACATATCTCGCCATTTACATACATATCAGGTACCGACTGCTTACTAGTATATCATCGGCACTGTTCTATTTTTTTTATCGTAATCGCGTATTTTAAATGTACTTTTAAATTAGAAGAACAGAATTGGCACGAGGGAAGTGTCCAGAGGCACGATGTGGTTGCACATGTTGCAAAATGCAAGGGAGCACCCGAGAGAAAGAGAGAGATCAGTTTATTATCGTGGATTGTTAGTGGTAATTTATTCATGTTTTATCATCCTGAACAATACATCATATTTCGATGACAAGTTGGCGCCATTGTCTGTTCACTATTCATTGCCCACCACAGTCTCCTCAACCTTTGCCTTCTGTTTCCAGGGGGCGCCGGAGAAGGAAAACAACAACTAGGACCTGAAAATATACCTAACGAGAAATTAGCTTTACCCGAGCTCGATTCACCAGAATACGAAGTTCCGCCAAATCCGTGTCCGATGGAATTACCGAAAGGTAAAAAGGAGTAATATATAAATGTGACGTTATTTGATATAAATGAGCTTTTTTTACATTTTAAATTTCATTTTAAATTATTATTTTTGGTGTTTGATTATATTATTTATCTCATTTTTTTTTTGTTATAGTCCGGTCGCGAAAGCCCAAAGAACTTTGGGTGTTCGTAGTCAGTAAATTTAAAGCGGGGGAGTCGTCACCTGCGAATGCGCAACACGGCCATAGCGTGTCGTTGTTTACAAACAAGCGTCTACCCATAAGTCGTTGTGTTTTAGATTGCGTTGTTATCGTCGCTTGGAGTCAATTACCGCGCAACCGCAGGTAACAACCCCTTCGCTTTAAACAAATAGAATTAAGAAAATAAATGAACTAAAATAAAAGCAGAAAAGCCCAATAAGGTCTTGTTTGTATCAGATTGGTCTAAAAGCGCAAGCCCGAGAATTGGGGGTTCCCGAATTGGTAGCATTTGCGCGTTCAATTGGAAATCCACGTTTCTCAGCTGTCTTAAATAGTTCTTCTAGCTGCCCTCGTGTGTACGCATGCGCAGGTGACGACTCCCTCGCTTCAAACATACCATGAATATACTATGTGCCATATTCAATATTGTATCTATAGGACTGGCTTTTTATTTACATATCGAGGTTATGACGTGACGTAGTGTTGTAAAAATTTACACTTTACGAAAATTTAACGAAATAACTTTTTTTTTTAATTCAATTGCGCTTTTTTGGGGGAGAGTTTTCGTGTCAAGCCTTCGACATGGATAGTTTCAGTTTGTCCTGGTATGTGCATAGGAGGTGGATGATAGGGAGATCGTCTCATGAAATTCTCAATCTCACCGTGCTCTTGAATTATTGTTTTCACAGGTAGACATATTGTTAAGTCAGAATTGTTCCCCAAACTGGAATGCTCATGCAGTAGTAACGCATCACTGGATAACAACGTGGACTGCGCTGATCCCTCGGGTGAGTGCATACAAACTAGAGTATCCGTGTCCGTGGTATATTCAGGGTACATCTTTTCAATGACGACATTGGCAAATCGAGTGGTGGGATTTACGTGTATAACATTGGTTTTAGTGGGAACGTGCGCCTTCTACGGAAATTTAAATATTTGTTGTCATGATGGGTCTGAAAAATTGAAAATGCCGTTAAATAGTAAGATAGGCACGTTTTAATTGCCCCTAAGAGTGAAACTAATTAAAACTAAGGATTAAAATGGCTGGTAATATAAGCATGCAAGCTTAGTTTAGATGGGTAACTTGAATCCATTCATAGTGCGGAGTGTGCCATCATCGGCGACAACGAGAGATTACTGAGTGTCGAAATTATTTTCGTGTACTGATTTGATTATTTCCTCGATATGTTCATATTTTTTAGTTGTTGAATGTTGTATCATAAACATGGACGACTTGGAAAATTTTGTTAGCTATTTCCAAACTCAACAAGGAAAAGATAATGGTGACGGAATCGCCAACGTTCAAAAAGTAAATAAGAAGGTAAGGTTCAAAGTTTCTCTAGGAGTTTCTATTTTTGTCACTAACAGTACCCACTCTAAACTGAAGTGGGTGACAGTTCCCCATATTCCGACACGATCGGTCATATTAGTTACTTTATCGAAAATTATCGATCATGCTGCTGTCCTAGGCGGAATGGGCTAGATGATGTCACGCAAGCGCTTTAACCCCCGTACTTTTTTTTTCAGAACCAATACCACGATGGCGATAAACTTGGTTCTTTGGTAGCAAAAAAATCTCCACGTAAATATAAAAGGGTAGGCTTAGTTACGATCAAATTTTCTTTCAAATTCGAACACTGATTATTTTAATTTTTTGCTCATTGTTAATTACGTTTGTCTATTCTGGGGAGAAGGGGTCGTCGTCGTTGGGGGCGTAATTGCTTCCTTTGAATGTTTTCACACATTTGCAATTTAACTTACGAACTATGCGCTTTATTGAATAAGAATATTTATTTCACTTCCACTATAGGATTCATATGAGTTAGCAGAACGATTTGCACGGGTAGGTACCAATCTTGGTGATACATAAACAAATCAACCGCATGCGAGCGCAATTCATTGCAAAAATGTAATCACTACGCGTACACAAATGACAACGTTAAGAATCGATCAATTTAGATTCTATCCCACACGGATTAGGCGATGACCTGTTATTAAATCTGTTTTTCTTCCACGACTCACATATACGGGGTACTGCCTATGGGTATATCCTGATATAGAACCACACTTTCCGATCTATCACCAGTTCGTCGCCTCACACCCCGAGCCTTGTAGATTTCCTCCGATTGTGATGATATATGATATACCAATACTGGTAAAAGAAACTGCCCCAAACCATAAGATCACGGGGAAATGTTTTTTAACAATATAATGGTGTCAAATTGTGTTTTCCACTGCCATGTGACGACTGTTTTACGGTGTTATCAACTACGAAACAGACTAACCGTCTTACTTTTATTGCAGAGAGCCAACCGCTACTTAGACGGGCAAGATCATATCAACTCGGTGGTGGCCAAGAAATCACCCAGATATTTAGACCCTAATGGCACGTTTATGTAAACTCCTTTAAACTGGCGACGAGACCGTTCTATTCCACAGGCTTCGATAATTATATCCCATTATGGTGTACTTAAAAGGCCCAAACATACGAAACATCAAAATTGTCATTTACACATATACAACGTGGTTTGTTGACGCTCTTTAAACAAACATATATATATATATATATATATATATATATATATATATATATATATATATATATATATATATATATATTTAACGAGCGTTATCAAGTCACTTAGTATAAAATAATTGCACAACTCCTGAAATGTAATTAGAATATAGCACAGTTAGTTGGAGTACCAGGGCAATGGCACAAAGTTGAATATCATTCACTATATTTTACCAACTAGATATGTTTCATGTTGTTTATGAAATTGTATGATCTATTAACATTCAATTATTTTCTGTTGTCGATGCCGATTAGAACTTTAGTTATTTACAGTGCTCAAGTTCGACAAAAAAACAGTGTTCGGATATAGCCTATGACCATATTAGTTTGCAACACTATGCGGTAGCCACCCCCCCCCCACATACACACGAATAGGTTTCCGCAGTAGTCTTTATGATGCCCTTTGTAGTCCGTGTTGTTTATTTACTTACATTGTTTGTAAAATATATATCTTTCGTTTAATGTGTGATGTAAACGTACATGCAATCCTTCTTCTGAGCATATCATATTAAAATGTGTGTTTGTCTTATTTTTCATTTACTGATTGATTTTTTGTCAATGTCTTTCACTCTCGTGACAATTTCACGGAAGTATATTCGTAAGACATTGTGTATATCATATAGTATGTTTGTGCATTTTTAACAAAGTTTGTTTGATATTACATCTTGAAAAATACGAAGGAAGTGATTCTTCTTAAACCGAAAGCGTTGTTTTTATAACAACAATATCCGGATCTGCAAGATGACGCTCGGGTGCTGTGCTTACACGCGCGCTCTGTGTCTTTTCGTTATTTTATCTAACGAATATTATTGCATTTACGAAGATGAAATATCAAGAAAATCGGTTAACCATGCTAAAAATAGTGTTTTGAGCGATGCTTCTTAAAAAACTAACTACACGTCCAAAAAAAACTTCAATCAGTGACATCACAAGTCAACGAGTGGAATCAAAAGTAGGCCAAGGTAAGAGCTTTGGGATACGATTATGAAAACCAATTAAACTTATGGTGACGTCATCACGGAGATTTGCGTGCGTTCTGGGGAATTTGCGGATTCTCCGTCGAAATCTAGCTTGACGAGAAGTTCAAATCTGAATTCAAGTTGTTTTTCGTTCATCCGTTCCGTAGTACTTTGAGACTTGTTCACACTTTATTCATTCTGACGAAACCCGGCGATAAAATAATTTAGATACGTTCGCGATAAACATGTTTATGAAAAAAAAACTAGTTTCATTTAACGGCAACGAATAGTAGTCCGTCAAAGCAGATTTAAATTTTCACCGGCGAGGGGCGATGAAGTCTAAGAAGTGAGCCGATAACAACATATTTTACCCGCCAGTAAAACAACTTACAGTGGGACCACCGCCGGTATGTTGAGAACATTGATTTACAAAGTAGAAACAAGAAAACACCACCAAGTGCACTGTTTTTACACAAAAGTGTTGACGTAGTCCCCAAGATCGCCATCATGTAGGCTTTTTATCTATCTACTTTGCCGCCAGTTTACACCCGTTGTAATCTTACCCCAGAGCGTGTGTTAAATGGGCGTCCCGCTGCGGCAACCTGGGAACATCGTGTACGGTGCATAGTTTGCCGTCGATACTATGGCTGTCAGCGAACCATGTTAAAAGTACGCGGTATAGTAGAAGCGTAGCAATAAAACTCGTTCCTAACAGCTCGTTTACATGTCCCGTACTTTGAGTTGTTATTTGAGATCGGGTATAAAAACGAATTTTACAAGATTTATCATTGTAATTAGCGTGGAGCATTTGCCATGGTGCCTTTGTATGTATCAATTTCGGACCTCTGCATTCTACAACCCATTGCGTGTTCGGCATCTCGACTTAGTGTCTGCTCTACAAGCAACCAAGCATGCACGCCCGATGGCTTTTACAGTGACTACATAGTCCGACACCGCGAGCTTCAGGTCCCTGGTTAGTTTGGGACCACGACCACGATGTCGTAATTTCTGGTTTCCGGCGGGGAAATGCCAGTCTCAAAAGTTGAATTCGTTCGCGAGCCCCAGCTTCATTGCCTTGCATATAAGCGAAAAAGCCCTGCGGTCGTCCATCGCACGTATAGCTCTACAAAACAGCGTGTTTAGGCCTGAGGACGTGAATAAATAAAATGTATGTACATTACATAAATATATATACTATATATATACTGCTGGTATTTTCAAGTTTCTGAGCCAGTCATTTTATTAGATCCTTGTTTCAACGGCAAACACGCTCATGATACGGATTTTTATTTCATTAAAACATTCAATAATCTAAAATTAAGACTTCGATGGATGGTAAATGGAAACCAGCGAGAAGATGAGCCTCACGCGTTCACAACAAACACACACACACTATCTCCTTCGTCATCATCTCTTCCAGCCTCAGCCGGTACTGACGATGAACTCGGGTCGGGTTGTGAAGTTATATTAGATGCATGCATTGTGATAAACAAATCATGAATCCAGTTCGGCGTCGGTGCGTCCGTCCATTCGACGTCACATGCTACAAGAGTGATTCGTCGCCCCTGTGCGTTCTTTGCAACCAATGGTACTGGCTCAATACTAGCATTCCACAAGAGGCAATACCACGACATTAAGGCGCTATACTAATAAACTATTCCCCCAGCACACGCTATATCTTACTATTTATATGACGCCTTGCAAGCCCAAAGGATAAACACACAAATTCGAGTGCTGGGTCTTAAAGGAAGAAAGCGAATATCTGTTCCTCATTCGCTTTTGAGAAAAGAAGAAAATCACTTGCGCGTTATTTTCTGGAGTTTGTATAGTTGAAGACTTCGCATTATTTCAACACGACGGGTACGTATTATATGTATATACTTAGGGCTTTTGCCCTGCTATATCTTATATTTGTTATTTTAACTGCTCGTGGTTAACCAGTTCCCGTATAAATTAATGCAAGGTTGACTAGACCATGTCATGTCACTTCATAGGTGGGCCGATGTGTGTACAACGCCGGTTTCAGTATCTCCTAATACAGAATAGTTATTCCCATTCCACAGAAAACAGTTCGACAGTTAAGCAATTTATTTTTGAGTTTTTCTTTTTCTCTCTGGTGAAAACATTATATTGTCTCTGCCGTTCAAATAGATAAACTATTTTTTTAGCACACCCCGCGTTGCTACTGACCAATATAACTAAAACAAATGAAAAATCGGGTTAATTGGAGATACAAAAATTGGGGCCGCTCATTTCTCACCGTGTCTTTTACAGTGTTGACAGTAAAGAAGGCCGAGTGCCGCGTATACACACGGCATGCTTGATAGGTTATGCTAGAGTGCAACGATGCCATGTAAGCCACGTACACTATTCCAAGATTCCATATACACGAAGCGTTAAGAATCTCAATAACAACAGCGAAATTGAGAAGCTCTCAAAGTAATAAGTTTACATACAACAAACTGCCTACATGCTGACAAGACACGTGAATTCGATTCAACATTGGGATTGATCGTACAAGCATTCACTAATCAAGATCACAAAAACATAACCACATGAGCGTAAATATATCAACTCCTTGATCACTCGTGTGACAAAACCGCGGCGCGAGCGCTCCATAAAAAACTTATGGTTTTAGAGTTGTTGCATTTAACCCAGCGACGCCAGTCTTTGCGTGTATTTAAAACCCACACAACCGCGCAGACGAGTACTCTTTCAATATTTTAATTAATTAAGGACAAGTTTATCAACTGGAAACAACTTATTCGAATACTACGGAGCAATAACGAGGGCACTTCGATGCAATCAAAACAAGTGTTTCCCCGTCGTCGCGTGTTGTGTACGTTCGTAAAATGGTAATGTGCGTCCTTGACTTCAACGCATAAATTGGAAACATTATACGATGTGCCGAACAGCGTTCGTGGCTTTTAAGAATAAATATTTTCATCGCAAATGTATTGGAGACAGTCGGATGTAGACATCAAATTTAACCGACCGAAGACGCATTATTTAATAACTTATTTCTCAATTTGTTTGCAATTGTGTCATTCATCCGAGTGTTGAATCGTGCCTTTCCATCGAATAGGAAAGTACAATTATACGAGTATACGGTATGAAACGAGTCTGTTTACACGTGTCCCGCCGTTGTCGACTTGTTTGTGGCGGTTTCATTTCTAGAACATATTCAGTATCTGAAAGCACGGTTGTTGACCCATCCTGGTTGTACATGTATGTGCACTCAGGCTGGTGTCTCAGACTAGCAGTTAGCAGACTATATACGCGTGAAGATGTAATAGCGAAACTATTAAAAACATTACCACCAAGTCTGAGTTTGAAATAGTGGTCACCTGGTTACGACTACGAAACGACGATGAGTCGGCACTCCGGCACTCCACTTGTAAAAATATTCAGCGACGCACGGCATGGTGGTGGTTTTCAACCGCATGGGCCACGTCTGTCAGTAGTAAAATCCCATACTCCACTCAACTTAACTTGAAGAAATAATAACAAATCCAATTTGTTACACACGGCTGGGTCCATTATTCGATTCCGTTTAGGTCTACAGACAACTGATCGCATAGTAGATGTCTACCAAGCCGGGTACCTATAAGTCGACGCAAACGAATACAATAACGACGGCATTTCAAGCTTAATTATGTCCCCCCAACTGACCTTACGTATGTTTGCTCCTCGTTTAAACTGTTCACGGAGACAAATTATTACAACTTATGTAATTTATAGTGGCGCGCAGAATTTTATGTTATTCTTGAACAACTTCTCGCTCTGCCAGTTTGATTACAAAACTCTCCTTATGCAGTGTTCGCCGTAAAAATAGTCCACTTGCGGCGGAATGTTTCATCGGTGTAATTACTGTTTACTACAAGATCGCAAGCAAGTAAAATCCGACTAGGTAATCATGACAGCGCCACGAAGTCTTCAAAGTACATAGTTTATTTAATTCGATATCCTCTGCTATTTACATCACTCACTGACATATTTATCAGTCATTATTATTATTAATTATTTTTTTTTCTTTTATATTCAATATGCCGACCCTAAGGCAATACCGCAAGTCATTGCCTACATGATTTTAGCGATGCGTGAATGTATTTGGGTAGTAGGTTTAAAAGACATCACCTATCACAGATTTCGATTAAGAAACAAATATGTTGTTTGGGGGCCATGCATATTGTATCTCGCATCACTGTTATTGCTACGCATAAATAGGCAATATTATGATCGAATGGTAGTTTCGGTGTAATATAATATTTGTTGAGCTAGAAAAACACCATCAACACTACCACGGCAGTATTGCACACATAGGATAAATACGACGATCGTCTAAAAACCACGAGGAATGCTAACACCACGTAAACAGCCTCCAGTGGCTACGTGACACTATCGGCGTTTATGTAGGGCTTCACCGCACATCAAATAGTCAGCGTGAAGCAAATAAGACGTTTCCGCGAGGGGTTTCCATTGCCCAGATAAACTTCTTTCTTGACCGGACGCTAGCTTTATGAAAAAATAATTGCGCGAAATGCACCATCTGTGAATGGTAAGGGGCCGGAAGCGCGATGACTTATAACTCATTTGTGATACGTCTTTGACGCTACCGAGAAAAAGAAGGTCATTGCCTATAAAGAGCAATAGCAAAACCAGCTGTACGTTTTACATGTTTTGGCGTAGTAGTAGTTTTTAAAGAGAATCACCCATTTATCCCTGGACAAATTGGTTTTGGTAATGACGATGATCCCAGGCGTTGCTGTCGACAGCTCCGTTAAGGGATGAACCATTCATACTGTCGGGATGGCGACAATTTATCCCACTGGCACGGACAAATTGGTTTTGGTGACGCTGATCCTATGCTTTCTATCTGGGTGGCGATTAAAATCATGAGAATGTATGTGCACAAACAAAACATGAAACAACAACTGGATTTAAGCGCGTCTCAAACAAAAAATACCAAATAAACAAAAATGTCCACCCAAAATGTTAAGAACCAACCCATCAAAGGCAATGGTTTATCCCTTATATTTAATCAATCTTTTACCAGGACTTCGACCATGACATACTGGCAGACTTGATATATAATCCAGGATATCGATCTTACAATAAAATGTGGTGTATGTATTCCCACTCTCGCTTAGAATATATTAATGACATTCGGCCTGTGGTTATTCGCTTATGTGTTCCTTATGCATCTATTTACAGACTGAGTTGCCATGGCAATGCGATGTCCATCACTGATTTCTTTACTACTCTTCGTATTCGTGATACTTCTAACGGCGTCGGCCACTTACTCCAAGCGCCATAGAAACGGCCACCGGGACGCGAGAGTCAATAACGACGACGACAACGAAGGCGGCGATGTTCGGTTGCTCCCGTTTGGGTATCTGCCATCACCAGACAAAAATGACAAAACCCACTCCCCAGATGACGTACTTACGCCCTCTAGCGAGGAAGCTGTGGCCATCACGGAGGGACAGTATCTGCGCAACGACTGGTGCAAAACACAGCCACTGAAACAGACCATTTACGCAGACGGTTGCATCTCGCGTACCATCATCAACCGGTTCTGCTACGGACAATGTAATTCTTTCTTTATTCCCAAACAAGAACTGAGGCAACACGTAAGCGCTTTTCAGTCGTGTTCTTTCTGCAAACCATACCGGTTCAACTGGATTACAGTGACGCTACGTTGCCCGGGTCAGAAACCACGACTTCAGAGAAAACGTGTGCAAAGAATTAAAGAGTGCCGCTGTATGGCAGTGCCGCTACCTTAGCTTTTAACTGTAAAGTCTGTAGTCTGAGAACATATTAATAAATACAGAAGTGTCTCCTACCTTGGCGGCAGTAAGTTGCATGATGGGAGGACGTGACACTTCTGACTCACGAGGGCGCAACACAGAACATGTTAATTGATTTGATACGAAGTGCTTACCGATTTGAAAAGAACAGTTGGAATCAAGACAATGAAACAAAACAACATTATACCATGTTCACAAATTGAAGGTTGAACTGGCATGGTCGGTTTCTATCAAGTTGGCCATGCATGTTAAATCCTGTATGCGATACGGCGACAGTGTTATTCTGAAAGCCTGAACTTTATCGAGTAAACCTAAAATCTATCTTTAGTAATTTATCAGAGAGCAAACAAAAACTGTTGGTAATGATGTATAATATTAATTTAATCGCGATAACGGGTCACGTGATATATGTACGTTCAAGTACAGGGTCGTATACGTTTCATTATAGTCGCTGCAGGAGGATTACGTGACGTGTTTGTTTGTTTGTTATTTAATATGTCTTCAAATATTTGCATATTATAAACGAAATTAGAATATTATGTATAACAACAGATTAAATGCTATTAATGGAATATCCTATTTCTCTGCTTTTTGAATCAGGTTTTTTTTTAAAACGCAAAAAATGGTCACCTCAAATCTGTGTCCGTAAAAATAAATAAATAAAAAAAAAAAACGGAAACAAACAACTTCCGGAAGCTGTCGTCTCCCATGACAATGATGTAAAATATAGCGTAAGCTTGCCAGTGAAAATCGATTTATTGTATTTACATCCGGTAGAACTGTGTGTGTGTGTGTGTGTGTGACACATATATGAACTGTGCTGAGTCTAGTGTTATATATGTGCATACAAATAAATATTCAAATCAGGTCATGAATATTCATAGTTAATTTGCTATTATAATAAAAAGTCTTTTTACTATTTAACAATGATATGTGTATTGTACGTTGTTTTATTACGATTTTATGATTTAAAGATGCAATGTGTTTGATACTGTATGTTGATGTCCGAAGTAAAAAAGCAATATAAAAAATATTGCTTTTGCAACACATACACATACAGCAATATTCATTCGATGACAAACCACAAATACGCATGCGCAGTGATTACTATTGCGTATTAGAAAATTAAAGTGCTCTATCATGCAGTTCATGATAAATCAAAGTAGAAAATATTCACCAATCTGCAGTATTACCGAAAACTTTTATCTTGTCAGAACAATAAATAGACCTTCGACGCAAATCTCAAATGGCCGCCGAGATCTTGCCAAGAGTGAGAGAGCAACAAGACTTGTTTTTTTCCTCCCAATAATGTTCCGTTCTCTCCTGCCATCGCGCCATTTGTTCCCCGATCTACGTAACCATGGTGATTGGAACAGTGGACACAATGATGAAAGAGAAACTGTTTCGGGGGGGGGTTACTAGTTTTGTGGATCTTGAGACCTCAGTTGCTATTTCATCTAAGGTCGATTCGTGGGTGACCATTAGCTACTATGGGGGAGGGGAATAAATCTATATACTGGATATACAGGAAAAACAATCCCACAAAAACATTATAATTATAAAGACGGAGTACTCTTTTAGTAACCGTGTTTAAATTAAGTTAGTACTGTTAATATACACAGTTCCTCTATCAACGGTTATTTCTATTGTGAGCAGAAGTTGTGAGTATTTCACGTATACTACAAAATTTGTCTCAAAGTTCATCATATAGTCACAGCCATACACGTGTTTACCGAAAGTACGGTCTCATTATCGGGACTGTGAATTATCTAACATTCCAGCGTAATAGGCCAATATGATGACAGAGCTCAGTACAACTTGAAAACAATCTAAATTAGACACACATATAACTAATGAACAAGTTCTCACCTGAGAGCCGAGAAAGTATGCAAATCCCCTAACCGAAGGCTCGTAATTAGATATGCGCATATTCAATTAGGAATATGAGTGTTCCTGTGAAGAAGCACAAGTCTTGTAGGAAATGAGTACAACTTGTCGGCATTCTGAATCATTATATGAATAGCGAATGATCTCAATAGTTCATATCAAAGCAAGTTAAGAGGGACGCAAAAACTTAGCTGAATTACATGCGTGCCTAGAATCCGCCTTGGGCTTCTCGACCAATGAAAATTATTCATTCATTGCCAGGCTCTCCTCATATGTACTAAGTGCCCAGTTTCCAAGTCTGATTCGTTATTTTATTCTGGACATAGCCAGGATCAAGTCAAGTTATTGGGATGTTATAAAGTCTTTATAATTCGACTTGGGATTTTATATAAAAAAAAAAGCCCAAGGGAATTCATATAGGCTATGTGACAGTTTTGACTTTTTTAGTATTACTAAGTATAAACGATTATAGCTGGGTTTGAAATCGAATACACACTCAGCTCTTTGATCTACATGTACCTGGAATTCGATATCAGTCATTGGATTTCGGATGATAACACTGCAGAGTTAGATCATGAATATTCATCAGTTGATCGTTATTCAACCTTGCATATAGCGCCTGTCTGCCACATTTTCAATATGCACATTTTATGAGAACAAACGAAACGAATTTAGAAACTTCCACTACTCTAGCCTGACATGTACGTAGGCGTGAGTGGCGCCCTAGCCGACTGAACGGCCTCACACCCCACTAATTGTATTGGGTTTGGAGGACCGCGGAGGGCGCAACTCACGCGACCTTGTCAGGCTACCACTACTCGTAAACATATTGGGCATTTACACATAGACCAATTGTACTATAATTAATAAGTTCAAAACAAAATGTCGCATATGAATTTGAAAATCTATATCAGAAATATAAAATTATATACAATTATTATTATATACGAGTCACCAAATCACCTCATGTCCTAAGATTCAAAGAATTACCATATAACACAAACAATCACAGAATAGTGAATAACTTTATAATTGTATACAATTTTCCAGTGACACCTGGTATCTACATTACAGTAGACACTATTTCCAGAAATGCAAGGTTTCAACTGTCTTACTAGATAAATTACGTTGCAGCAAGGTCAAAAGTCACATGGCAAATAACATTCAGGCCAGGTATGCAAGATGTCATTGGAGAATCCTGGAACAGATGTACGATTAAAATCATTGATTATTGCCAAAAAATGTCTAAAACCCAAACTTGCAACATCATATACTGTACAATACTTTATTTTAGCTGGAATTAAGTTTCGCTGAAAGACTTTTTGGCTGTTTTGTATGGAATTTATTTTCACTGATTTTTGGCAAGTTGAATGTAAAATATAGGGAAGGATTTTACTTTCACTGAATCATTCTTTCAGCAAAAATTAATTCTAAGCGAAAATAAAGTATTTAACAGTACTCTCAGTGGGTTTCAACATTTAGAAACCAATGAAAAGTACACATCTGATCTGACAACTGTTCCAGTTAAGATTGTAATGGTATCCAACGATTTGATTGTACAAGCTTCTATATCGCCAGCAGATTAATCCGATAAATCTGATCTGATCTGATCTGACAAGATAAATGTGGTGGAACACATTTGTTCAGATGGCTGTACAACCTTCTATGGCACCACCAAATTAATCCGATAAATCTGATCTGATCTGACAAGATAAATGTGGTGGAACACATTTGTTCAGATGGCTGTACAACCTTCTATGGCACCACCAAATTAATCCGATAAATCTGATCTGATCTGATCTGACAAGATAAATGTGGTGGAACATATTTGTTCAGATGGCTGTACAATCTTCTATGGCACCACCAGATTAATCCGATAAATCTGATCTGATCTAATCTGACAAGATAAATGTGGTGGAACACATTTGTTCAGATGGCTGTACAACCTTCTATGGCACCACCAAATTAATCCGATAAATCTGATCTGATCTGACAAGATAAATGTGGTGGAACATATTTGTTCAGATGGCTGTACAATCTTCTATGGCACCACCAGATTAATCCGATAAATCTGATCTGATCTAATCTGACAAGATAAATGTGGTGGAACACATTTGTTCAGATGGCTGTACAACCTTCTATGGCACCACCAAATTAATCCGATAAATCTGATCTGATCTGATCTGACAAGATAAATGTGGTGGAACATATTTGTTCAGATGGCTGTACAATCTTCTATGGCACCACCAGATTAATCCGATAAATCTGATCTGATCTAATCTGACAAGATAAATGTGGTGGAACATATTTGTTCAGATGGTTGTACAACCTTCTATGGCACCACCAGATTAATCCGATAAATCTGATCTGATCTAATCTGACAAGATAAATGTGGTGGAACACATTTGTTCAGATGGCTGTACAACCTTCTATGGCACCACCAGATTAATCCGATAAATCTGATCTGATCTGATCTGACAAGATAAATGTGGTGGAACACATTTGTTCAGATGGCTGTACAACCTTCTATGGATTTTATTAGTTTTTGATGAATATGGCAGCCATTCGGCTAAATTTTGATGAAACCCCAAATAACTGAAAACAACCCATTATATCTTGTCTTTGTACCAAATTTAAACCTAATCTGTAAAACCATCTCTGTGAATGAGCAGAACACTTGTAAAAAGACAAAATGGCCACCAGTCCACCATTTTGAATCAAATCACGAAAATAAAAATGATGTGCATCAATAACCCACCATGACTGATGTCAATGCAAAGTTTGAATGAAATCTGCCAAGGCATGTCAGTGTCCAAGAAACGGTTGGCGACAGTTTGAATTTCGTGATTTTATTCATTTTTGATGAAAATGAATGCCATTTGGCTAAATTTCGATGAAAAAGAAAAAATAACTAAAAACATTTAACCTATTATATCTTGCCTTTGTACAAAATTTAACCCAAATCTGTACAACCTTCTTTGTAAAATGAAAATTTGACCAGGCGTCTCTAAGAAATGACGATGGACGGTCGGATGGACACACACACAGACAGACGAATGGATGGATGAACGAACGGAACCCAAAATGTATAAAGTCCCTGTTTCAGACTACTTCCAACAGGAACTAAAAACTAACTGCCTGAACACACAGTGTCTCAATTGATGCACACAATATGTAGAGCTTTAAAAATCAAATAATAGCTTTGAAAAATAGAAAATGATGAAACAAGACAAAAAAAGACAACTTGTACAAATATAAAATATTTATTCACTGAAAATAACTTAAAAGCAAAAGATACAAAAGCAATAAACTGACCAATGACTGCTACAACAACCTCAGCTAATTAAAAAAAAATATGACTTTATTAGTATCAATACAATTACATAGAATGTTAAAACCATAGCATATCATAATTTTAATATTATAAAAATACAATCCAAAATAAAACACTGAAGCATATTATTAATCATAAAACTGCAAACAAAATATGCAAATTATAAAATCAATATTTGTTTGTTTTTTCTGTAAATTCATTGGTTGTTGAACTGACATCTCCATGGCAACAGTTCCATATTTAATAAAAATAAATTTTCCAAAAAAAATGTTTAGACAAATTATCAAAATAAATATAATAAATATCAAAAAAAATATTCAAACCCAAAATGCTATACAATATATAGCAATAAATTTACAATATTTGAAATTAACAAAAAATATACAGACACTGAATGAAATAGATGTATTTAAAATACCTATATAAACAAGAAGGCACCGGAAAGATTTATATTGCTTTAACTACGGGAAGACTATGTGGATAAATTACTATTACAATAGAAAACTATTCTCTGCAAATATTATTAGGATTATTAAATATATGTTATACAAGTTATTTTATTTTTTATATTATTTCAACATGGTATATGTTTATTTGGCTGCAAACTTTGTACAGAATTGAAAAGCAAAATGGTTAAATAATGAAAAGTTTTGCGTACATTTAAATCATTTTGTTTGATATTGTATCTAGATAGGGAAGGTATTATTAGGATATGATAAACCATTAATATAGATTTGCCTGCAAACATGGCAGTATTCAATCAATAAAACACTGAATAAAACACATTTGTTTTTAATAACCGGTACTCATACTCGAGTTATTCAGTATTTCTTCCAAAAAATATAATGCTGTGTCTGCAGCCAAATCAAGGGTTTTGTTCTATGAAAATTGTACCCTAATGTTTATATCAACAACTTATAAAAGAAAAATCTCCAAAATACTGCCTTTTAAGTTATATGGGGGGGGGGGGTGAATGTCAAAATCCACACATAGGATTAGTTATAATAATAAACAGTATACTTCATCTGATGACTCATGACATACTGTTACTGAATTTACAGGGTTAAGCCCATTGCAAATAAACCACAGCACTGCTGAGACAGTTTCACAGTCAATTTTCAAGTCATAATACTGTACATATTCTTGATAAGATGGCTTGAATTCTGAATTTTTATAAGATGCTGAAGGGGAACGGTCAGAAAGAATACTAGGCAAGCAATTATTAGACACCAGCGAACATGAAGCCAATCTTTAAATGGAATTTCTCTGACGATGATGCAAATAAACTTGAGACCTACATCTGTTGGAATTCAGATGAAAGGATGACCTTTAACCCCAAAAGACTGAGTGACGAAATTGACGCAGATTACCTCGCCATATGTGACAACATAATACCGTCAAATGTGTCATAAACTGTGGAACAAATCTATAAACCAAACCACTCAGTTGACTAACATTCTCCCCCCAAGTTCCTTCATTGTTCAATTTACTCAGGTAAATCTTACAAATCAAACTCCTAAAAAAAAAAAGTCCTATAAATTTATTATGATGATGGCACTAAATATATACAAAGGCATGCCGCAAAGGTTGATACAATCCTGTGATTGAGTGCATACTTTGTGGTATCCTTGTTATATCTTTATTATCCATACAGAAATGCCATCAGAAATTATTTTACAACATCTGTGAAATAAACCAAAACCATGTCTAAGCCAATTATCAGTGGGACTTAACAAATGCTTCTTTTTTTCATAAATGTCTGTTTGGTTTAGGCAGGTTTCTAGTCTACACAGGATCTGACCAGTTTAGACAGGTTTTCAAACTACACAGGATTAGACTGGTTTGGGCAGGTTGCCAGTTAAAACAGGATTAGACCGGTTAAGAAAGGTTCCATTTTTAAACAGGATAAGACTGGTTTCTAGTCTACACAGGACTACATAATAAATTATTTCAGACATTTTAAACTATCAAGATAAAATACATTTTTTTCAATAAATATTTTAAAATACTGTTAACCCACCATATTGCATTTAGTTATACTTAACTGATCATTCATTTTAAAAACTAAAATAAAAAAAAATAGAAAACATTATATTTTCACACTAAAGAAAGTGCTGTTCTGTACACAGGATATCCATGAATGATCAATAACACAGGTAGAAAAATTGATAATTTACTTACATTAGTAATTTGTGACATGATTATTTTGAAACAATTATCTATTAATTTTTCTCAATACTTCATTAAAAATCAAAAAAGTAAAATCTATTCCCACTGCCAGTAATTTTAATTAAAAAAAACAGAAAGTTGAATTCATTAATTAAAATGACACTCACATGATTTTAATTAATAAAAAATTTTTAAAATATTAATCCATTCTCACCAATATGTCACCTCAGGAGCACACCTTTTGTCCAGAAACAATTTCTAATTGAATATACCACCATATTAATATGGAACATACATGTAAGATAACATTTTTCACAATTCTCAGAAAATGTCTCTAAGCTATGAGTATTTGGCACCAACCAACTCGTCACAACATATTTTGACTTTTACATAATGACTACAGAAAACTGCGCCAGGATTGATTGAAGAGACAAGTAACACTCCAGCAGATCTCTTCATATCTTACCCTTGGCAAGGAGTCTTGCTTTCAAGCCACCTGGTTTCTTGGGAGTTGTTGTAAAACACTTTTTTTGCTCTTCTTGTTTTTGTTTGGCTAGAAGTCTAGCTTCTTCAATCCTGAAAAGATATTAGGAGTATTAAGAATTATAATGTGAAAAATAATATATGAACTATGAACTATGCACTGTGAATAATGATATATGAACTATGCACTGTGAATAATAATATATGAACTATGCACTGTGAATAATGATATATGAACTATGCACTGTGAATAATAATATATGAACTATGCACTGTGAATAATGACATATGAACTATGCACTGTCAACTATGACATATGAACTATGCACTGTCAACTATGACATATGAACTATGCACTGTCAACTATGACATATGAACTATGCACTGTCAACTATGACATATGAACTATGCACTGTGAATTATGACATATGAACTATGCACTGTGAATTATGACATATGAACTATGCACTGTGAATTATGACATATGAACTATGCACTGTCAACTATGACATATGAACTATGCACTGTGAATTATGACATATGAACTATGCACTGTCAACTATGACATATGAACTATGCACTGTGAATTATGACATATGAACTATGCACTGTGAATTATGACATATGAACTATGCATTGTGAATTATGACATATGAACTATGCACTGTGAATAATGATATATGAACTATGCACTGTGAATAATGATATATAAACTATGCACTGTGAATAATGATATATGAACTATGCACTGTGAATAATGATATATGAACTATGCACTGTGAATTATGACATATGAACTATGCACTGTGAATAATGATATATGAACTATGCACTGTGAATTATGACATATGAACTATGCACTGTCAACTATGACATGAACTATGCACTGTCAACTATGACATGAACTATGCACTGTCAACTATGACATATGAACTATGCACCGTGAACTATGACATATAAATTATGCACCATGAACTATGCACTGTGAACTATGCACTGTGAATTATGCACCGTGAACTATGACATATGAACTAGGCACCATAAACTATGATATATGAACTGTGAACTATGATATATGAACTGTGAATTATGCACCATGAATTATGATATATGAACTGTGAACTATGATATATGAACTATGCACTGTGAATTATGACATATGAACTGTGCACTGTAGGCTTTGATATATGAGTAGTCTGCAGACCAGTGGCCCAAATAACAGTAACATGTTACAGAAGTTCTAGGGTATATTATTCCATGACCATTCATATAATTGGAAACCAGAAACATTACAGATTATCTGTAAATTACATGAAATCTGGGGTTTGTATTTTATTACTATACTTGCTTTTTCTTGGTGATCTTGACTTGTTCTTTTTTCCAAATTTCTTTGAAGTCAAGACAGAAAGGTGCCCATAAACCAAACAAATAATTTGGTGTGACCTTTTTATCACCTGACCTGGGCTGTAGGCAATAGTACTGCACCAAATTATCAAATCTATAACGTAGGCAAAATGAAACATTGTCAATAGTTACATCAAAGTTATTTATAAAGGTATTCTATAAAGTACATGCTCAATCAGTAAATAATTTTATGTAAATGAAACACATTTTGTATACATTTTTGGCCTCAGTGTGTCAATCAGCATAATCTAATTGTGGAGTTATGATGGAAACTATTTGTAATCTCAAGGTATGAAATCGTAAATAATATAAAAAATAGCCACAGTAGGCTACTAGAGAGTCATGTGGTACTACCGTAGCTGTTAAACACAGCTACAATTTAACATTATAGCAAGACTAAATACCAGAGCAATCACAAATTAATGAAAAATCTGAAATTTTCAACACTCTGAAATGCAAAAGTCAACTTTTGTCACGTTTTGCAAAAATAAACCTGCCTAATATTTTCTATAATTTTCAAATTCCGTAACCAATAAATTTGAGAAAGATAAATAAAAATCAAGCAATATGTTGTACCAATATTCTGATGGAATGAGTTAATTAAATACAAGTCCTCACAAAATCATTACAATGGTACTGACAAATACATAATTTTCATAAACTTTGAAGTGCATTCTGTTTCCCATTTGCATACAGGAATGCCACACCCTGAAGACAGTTAGTTTATCAACAATTTATAGCCACTGCAAAAAAATGTTGCTGATTTTTACAAAAAAGGTATTTACTGTTTCAGGGACACACTTGTAACAATAATTCAGTTTTTCATACATTTTATGGTAATTCGGCAACTAGCACATAATGAAAATTAATCCTGTGCACTGCCAAGTGTTGGTTAGAAGAACTAGACATGCACTGCGGTGAGTGTTTGAAATTACCAGTATACACTGAATATTCCAAACAAGTCATCTAATGACCATGTTTTGCATGCATCAAACAAAAATTTTCAATGGGCAGGGATAACAGAAATAACATGTACCGGTATATGTGTTTTATAGTTGCTTATGTACTGGTAACCAGTGCAGTGCAAACATTGTAAAATATGTTTTACAAAATTTACCTCTAGAGGGCGATTTAAAAAAACAGAGATGTAGTACATGTAGTTTATCACACATTATTTAGCAATATTTGTGGGCTTGAAAATCAAGCCCTACCAATTGTTAAAACAAAAGAAGCACTTATTAAAAGAAAACAATAGGAAGAAGAGCCTACAAAAAGCTTATAAAATGTCAGACCAAAAAGGTGTAGACCAGTTTCATCTTTGTGAAATATAAATTAAGCCTTACTGTTCTTCAGTTTTCTCCATGCATGTTTGTTGTTTGATCAGTTCTTGTTTAGCAGATATTACAAAGTTTTCCATATTGTCTTTGAATGGCTGAATCAGATCCTCTTGACTCTTCTCCAAAACTTGGTTCATTTTCCTCTCACAGCCTTTTATCAACAATAGACAAAAAGAATGATGTACGAGTATTGTGAAATAGATTACTGACAAATACCGCACGCTTTTACGGAATGGCATATTTTCATCAAATATTCTGCTTATTTTTCAATATTATGATAAAAACATGGTACACATTGAGTGAATTTCCTTCTGTCCACAAAAAAGGCTAAATTGAAAAAATATTATTGAAATTAGGCAAGTTTTCAGAAAAATATTGGCGCAAAAAATTTTAGGCAATGAAAGTCATTACTATTTTGTGAATTGCAGCCAGAATATCTGTGTTCTTTTTCTTTAATGGAAAAAAAAGATGGGAGGGAAAAAAGGAAAGCAACATTGGCATGTAAAATATTCAGTTGTGTTATATCTTTGTTTAAGTTAATTCAGTCATGTTTCTATTCAATACAGAATAAATAATTATCTTTTCAACCGCATTAAGCTTAACAATATTTCATACTTTCTAAATTTTTCTGGATTTGTTTTAATTCTTTCTGTAGATCTTCAAATTTAATCAAGGCAGCTTGTTGTAAATGGGTTGGTTGCGGTAATGGAAACTGACACAGTTCAGTTCCAGCATGTTCATCTATGTGAGTCACGTAATAATGTACTATATACTGCAATAAACTTGAACTGTTGTCCTGAAATTACAACAAAAAAGACAATTATGAGAAAATTCACAATTAAAATTTTTAATATAATCATACAGACATGAAAAGGGAATACTTAACACCTTTTCGTGGCAGATAAAAAAACCTTTACCGTTTCTCTATTTGTTTTCATAAAGTGGGTACTTTAAGGTGGTCAGGAAAAAAAAAAACTAATAACAAGTGTGATTTAGTAGTGAAGTAAACTAAAAAAACTTTTGCATAAATTTTGCATAAAATTTGCATATGAAATTATTTGTCCAGTCAGTCAGGTCACAAGATATACAACAATTCACAGGAATAATTAAATGTAGTTTTAATTATGCAAATGTTAGAATCATTATAATATTAGAGATGAAAGTTATCAGTTGATGGAATATTGAATATATTATTTAAATTAATATACTCACAGAACTTTTGACATCTTTTAGTTTGGGTAAAATATCCAAACTGAAACCATCAGCTTGTCCTCTCGTACGACTTCCTGTAAATATAAATGCAAATGTTACGCCAAACATCGAAGGCTATGATCTGTCATAGAAGGTCATTGATGACGAATGCAAACACTAATGGTCTCTATGTGGAGGAACCATCATTGTCATCTTCACTGATAGTGTTGTCATTTCATGACACACACACAAACATTGAAATGGTCAATACATGGCTGTGTGTAGTGAAGTCATCCTCATCATCGGACTCATCATCTCGTCACTTACACAACAGAAACCGAGAATGGTCAGTGAATATATTATTATATAGAAATTGACAATATTTCATTTCATGACACACATACAGACACAAACAACGAAAAATTAGCAGCACGGTGTCGTTCTGTTATCAGTGTTGTCACATCATGGTTGATGCCTACCACATTATTGGTATTTATTCACTCACCTCCATTCATGTAGTTGCCAAAAGCGAGCACCAATCCTAGGACTTTTTGGATACTCTCACTGCATATCAACTCCTACAAATAAAATAGATACAAAAACAAGTCAAGAACAAAGCATTATTTGATAAATATATATATATATATATATATATAGAAATATAGAACAAAACTGCATGGAAGTTAGTAAAAATAACAATAACAGAAAACGATTATATACATCTTAGTTACTGTCACCGCTAAATGGTTTGAACACGTTTGAACATTACCAGCTAAGTTGCTGACTGGTTTGTGGTGCATGTCTTTGAAACCTTAAGAGATTGAACCAACCTCATAAAACTAATACTAAGAAACAGGTTGAATCAATAAGCCAATACAATACTTTTTCACCCCAAAATTATAAAAATGAATTACAGAAAAATATATGAAGAATATGTGCACCAACATTTTGGCGAAAAAAACTGATGGCGTTAAATCAAACATACCTCACTTATTTTTTTAATGGTGTTCAGGTTTCTTTCAATATTAGACTTATTCTCATCAAAGGAATGCTGGAAAAGTATACAATGGACTCGTTCAGAAAAGCATGGAATCTCCGATACAGACAGCAAAAACCTGGTAAATAGAAAAAGATAAAACTATTCAGTATAAACGCTTGAATCTTCTTTGAATAAGATGCCCCCCCCTCCACCATTGAGGGCGCCATGTTCTAATACCAAGCGGTATCAAACACAAACAAAGTAAAACATACTATGTAACGTAGAGGGCAGTAACAAATGAAACAAATCTAACAAGGTTAGCATGTTTTAATTTTGCTACAAAAACATCCGCTACACTAAAAGAGCTAAAATGTTTTCGACTGTTACCATGGTAGGACATGAATGTGGAGCTTGTCAGTTTATAACTAAAAGCGGGCACCGTATTCGAAGTTCACAAAAAGCATTCAGTCTTCAGAAGTCACTTTATTACTAGGATGTATTCTGCTGTTACATTACTTCTGACCGTTTTGCTATTTTATTTTCTAGATTGAACGCAGCATTTACAGTTCATTCAAAGTTGCATTGGGATCACATTGATACAGTGTAACAATGTCGCCGCCAGAGATCTCTCGCTGTGCGCAACTTAGCTAAACACTGTGTCTGCGTGTGTCTGCAGTGTAATTGCACACACACACGAAAGTGATTTTAAGGGCAATCCTAGCGAAGCGGATCGCCAATAATGTATGCAACTTTGTGGTCATCTTGCAATTCGCACAACTCTTCAACACATATCAAACCACATAACATCATCTTAAGTCCTCCTCTTATTTGCCGTTACAAACATTTCACGTTCTTTCCGGACTCAATGTAGTAAAATTACAATCCACACATCACAAAAGCTAAATAAATCTACTATGATCTTTTGGAAATAATTACAGGCTACTTACTGCTCAGGTTTATCCAGTGGTGTATTTTTGTTCTTCTCTAATGTGGATTTAATCTTTTCGATTTCATCCATCATGGGTCTCTGCAAAGTAAATTAATTACAGATGAGAGAAAACCTAAATCGTTACAATATTTTGTTTTTAATTACATGTACGTACACCCAAATAAATCTTTGAGACTAACACAAAATTGCTATGGTGAGTATTTTTATTTACAATATTTCATTACTTTGACACTATTAAAGTATTTTGTTTCGATCCAAGCATGGATGATTTATCCAACTACAAATTTTTTTTTTTTATTAAAACATTGTGATGAAAACAATTCTCAATTTTATCTGGCGCCAGAATATTGAGTGAATCATATACCATATTTTTTTCTATTAGTAGAGCATGGGCTCACATAACTGACAGAGGTATATGTGGTCATAATTTTTTAATGATTCAGAAAATAAATGAATTTATGTTTGCTTCTGTTAAAGTTTGCTTCTGTTCTGTGTTTCTTAATAGAATAAATATGGTTTATTTAGCACTAAATTGTGAAATGAATTTTATCTGATGCCAGAAATATACATATACATGTGAATATCAATAACTTACATATTAGTGTATTGCTATAATTCTTTCTTGCACAATATCCTTTGGTCTTAATACAATGAGAACTATTTACAACATACCATGCAGAATCTATGGGAAATAGTAGCTACTTCCAAATATAAATAAGTCGTCATGAAACTTACAATATCATATATAGCTTGTAGATTCTCAACATCGATTTCCGACGTGTCCATGTTTATTGCTGCATTCCGGATATCGTCCATCGCAACGCGTAAACCAGATATCAAAATGGCTACCGCTTGAGACCGTTGCGTATCAAGACATTTCAAGACCTGTTCAGAAAGACAAATCACTAAGTCCATAGCTTGTTACACAAGAATGTTTGAACTTTGTGAACAATATACACAAGTGAATGCATGGATAGAAGCAGTCAGTTAAAAAGTGATAATTCATAGAATCAGAATTATATATGAAATTACTTCTATTACCTTTTGTGATTTTTTTCGCTTCATAGATTCTGACAATGGTTTCTTTTTTATAGTGGATTTCTTTGAAAATTTGGCTTCAAATTCTTGTGGATCAATGCTGAGCTCTTGCAAGTTATCCCATAATATGGGGTGACGCTTCATGCTAGCAACAAATATAAATTAAAAAAAATATTTCTAACAAATGTGATTAAATTATTCAAATAATAATTAATATATAGACCAAACAGAAAAATTGGATAAGTGACAGTTACATATAACTAGCAATAAATATAATGTTTAGTTTAAGTCTACCTGTAGTACCTATATATATAATATCAAAGCAATCAGACCTGAAGTTTTCAACAAGAAGTCGAAAATATCACTTTTTACCAAAACTAACAAAAATATTCACCAGTATAATTAAAGATATCATCACGAAATGAACAAATCTGAGAGAGGTCCACATGTAGTACCTATAAATTTAATATCAAAGCAATCGGACTTGCAGTTTTTAACAAGAAGTTGAAAATATCACTTTTTATCAAAAATATTCATCAAAATTAGAGAAATTAAAATTTTTACATGAAATGAACAAATCTGAGGAAGAACCATCCAAGGTACTTGTATATCAAATTTGAAAAAAATTCTGACTTGCGGTTTCGAAGAAGAAGTTGAAATTGTAAAGTTGGCGACAGACGACGACGGACAATCAGTAATATAAACAGCTCCACTGTGTCGACTTTGTGATATGTGGGTTTTTATTTTGTCCATGAAGAAAAAAACATATTGAAGTAATTAGTTATATTGAACCAGATAAGAAAATAAATAGAAAATAGTAATAGGTATTCATAGTTATTCAGTTTAACCAGATGTTTCTGGCAATACATCCCCCCCCCCCGCACTCCTCCCTCCGAGAGGATATCCAGAGTACTGTACATATGAATCATTGTTCGATACGTCTGGTTGTATGGAATAACTGCCAAAGATTACAATTCTCTATTACATTTTCTATGTATATCATATTTCTATCTATCATTTTCTATTATATATAGCAGCTTTCACCAATTTTAAAAGTGTATATGACATGAAATAATGTAATGCTGAATACGTACTGTTGATTTTGACAAATCTTATCAACTTCGTTAACTTGTATTCTCTTCCAATACAAAGCTTTCATTGGTGCGCTGGGTTCCAATATTGGTTTTCGGGGACCTTGAGGTGTTGGCATGCTGAAGAGTGGTGGAGGGAGAGGAGGAGGGTGTGAGGCACCAGGTGGATATCCTCCTGGAGGTGGCGGTGGAGGAGGTGCAAGTGGTTGTCTTTGAATGCCATTTGGTGGCGGTGGTGGTGGTGGTGGTGGTGGTGGCGGCGGTGGTGCAAGTGATTGTCCTGGAATGCCATCCAGCGGTGGTGGTGGTGGTGGTGGTGGTGGTGGTGGTGGTGGTGGTGGTGGTAGTGGTGGTGGTGGAGGCGGCGGTGGTGCAAGTGATTGTCCTGGAATGGTATCGGGTGGCGGTGGTGGAGGTGGTGGAGGTGGTGGTGGCGGTTGTCCTGGAATGCCATCGGGTGGTGGTGGTGGTGGTGGTGGTGGTGGCGGCGGCGGTGGTGGTGGTGCAAGTGATTGTCCTGGAATGCCATCGGGTGGCGGTGGTGGTGGTGGCGGAGGTGGTGGTGCAAGTGGTTGTCCTAGAATGCCATCATCTGACAATGGTGACAGTGTTGGAGAAACAGATTCAAGAAACTTCTCTTTTGATGTATCTTCTGATTTTGGCAACTGTATTTGTTGTGGAGGACCTGTAAGCTTTTGTTTGACATCCTCCTCGTCTGGTTGCGAGATGGGTTTGACTTTGATCTTAACTTCTATTTTATCAGTTTGAACTGCTTCGTCTACATAGAGAGTTGTTCTTTTCCGCTCAAAGTCGTCAGCAACCAGTTTGTACTTGTTACGTTCTTTTCTCAATTGTTTTAACTCATCCTCTAGTTGCACTGTTCGAACAGCGTACTCGCCGCGAAGTTGAAATAAACTTAACTCATACTGGTCCTGTGAAATGAAATAAACAATACAAAACAACACAACACTATATTGAATTTCAACAATGAGCCTGTCAAAAATGTGATTCAAATGTTTTCTTAAAATTCAACATTAAAATAAAACAGAATTTATTTATGTTTTTGAAGGTCACATATATTGACGAGACAGATATTTTGCAACTATAAATTGGCATACCTGTAATTTATCTAACTGCTCCTTATGCTGGCGTTTCAGTCCCATTATCACCTGTTGATGCTCTGAAATATGCAAATTAGTACAAAGTGATCACATGACTCAAAGCACAGCAAAGGAAGACAGACATCAAAACAAAGTACATAGATCCTTTGGATATATTACATTAAAAACCACTTAAAAAACCAAAAAACTCCACATATAAACATATTATAGATTTACAACAATTACAATATGGTATATGCTGTGTTAGTAGCACTACAATTACTTACTACCGTATGATCCAAATATGTCATATTTTCAAAAAAATTCAGTTTACAATAAATGTAATTTTCGGTTTGAGTGAGATTTTACTGGAGATATGTTTGTAACAAAGAAAATACAACAAGTGTCTTTATTTCATGACATGAACATGTTTAATCCTTTGCATGCCAATGTCAAGACTTCAGTCACCATCCACAAAATAGTTCCATTTATAGTCTGCTAATTTTTACATGAAAAGTTGATGAAAATTTTCAAATTTTTAGATTCAAAACTAGAAACAATGTCATATTTAGTCTGTTTGGTCCAAAATTAAGACTGAATTCAGTGAAAATGACAGTAAATGTGAACGAATTTACACTAATTTGAATATGAAAAAATGTAGTACTCAAAGGATTTAAGTGTACTATGTTCATATAAACAGTGCACGTTGAACAGACAACATTCAAAATGAAAATTTAGCAAAAAAACACAGGTGGTAACATTTTAAAGATTTTTTGAAATGACTGTAAACTGTTGAATTTTTCTTGCTAGAAAGTATCTCTGATCAATGATTCTTTTTTTTAGCTTTTAAGCATTGCAAAGAAATTCATTCCCCACAAAACTAGCCTTACACAGAATCAAATGATGGTGGTCATGGCGATGAGTGTGACATGAGATTTCATAGCAACATACACAACACATGTATTTTACATTGTTTACACAAAATTCAGACATAAGCTTTGTGATAATTTCAATTACTGTAGAATACTTTATTTTAGCTGCAATTAATTTTTGAGTGTTTTCTATGGAAATTATTTTCACTGATTTTTGACAAGTTGAATGTAAAATATAGGAAAAAATGCATATTCACTGGATTTTATTTTCACTGAATCTTTTCTTCAGCGAAAATTAAATATAAGCGAAAATGAAGTATTTTACAGTAGTATAGGTTGTCAATGACCTTCTTTTAAACACTACACGATTTTCTTTTGCTCATAAATTTTGGATCAGACACATAGCTATTCAGAAATTCTGCTAGTTTTTATAGACAAATTTAAGAACAAAATTGAGAAAAATTGTCAATTTTGATTGGAAATTTAATCCAGAAACTGTTTTCAATGCATCTGTATTTCCCTTCAATTTCAACACAAGATTAGATTTTCAAAAGAAATAAAAACAAACAATCTGACATCACAAACTTTTGATAAGATCATTAAATCATGCGTAAACATTGCTTTTGTTCAAATATCTTACCTTTTCTGAATGCTGTTGATTCATATGAATAAAGCAAATAGTATCAGAAAATAGAGGAAATTAGGTTACACAAAGGGATATAGATTGTATGGCTTTAGAAATCAGAGATCTACCAGAAAAGTACAGGTAATACTGTAAAATCTGTATTAGAAGCCGCGGCTTCTATTAAAATGGTACAATGCAACAGAGGGGATGCGGCTTCTATTAGAGCATCTACACATATGAGAAATGATGAATTTTTGGTTCTCAATTATTCAAATAGAATGGATGCAACTTCTATTAGGGATGCGGCTTCTAATACAGATTTTACGGTAGTAGTAATTGGAATTGTGTTGAAACAATTTAGTGAAAAATTGAGAAGACAGAAAATGATACATGGAGGAATAACTTTTGAATCTGTTCCCCACCAAATTGTTTTCCTGCCAGAATTTTGTTTTCCACATTTTTAATCAAATTTGAATAGAAAGATAGATCATTGCACACAGTTTTTATCAAAAGTTATAAATTTTTCATATTTTAATGAAAATAAGGAGATATCTTGAAAGACCAAATTTCTGAAAGATATTGATAACAAGAAAAACAATGGTGGTGAAAAGGGGTTTAAAAACTGCAGTTTTAGTTTCATATGTATTTTTAAAATGTAGTGAAATGAATGTACCTGCTTCAGAATACCTCAGGGCAGCCTCTGTGGTTGGTTGCGCCTGAGGTGGTGGCCAGACTTGAGCCAATCGTCCCGGAGATGATACTTGCGATACTTGTGTTGTTGATGAATGTGACTGATGGGACCAACAGTACATTGAGTCGATCTGATTGGTAGAGAGAAAACAGTTAAAATTATGGAAAATCTATAAAAACAATGAAATATATGACTGAATTTATATCGGAATATTGCCCTAAGTTAGAGAGCAAGGTTTCGTCAACCGAGTTGTAACCTAAAGCGTCCATCTTCATGACAATCTTGATCATTTTAGTTTTTCGGGCAGACAATAGCCATGTATGATGGTAAGATTACGATAAAATAACGCAATTCAGAGTAGTTCAGCTAATGTACTTTAAAGAACATAAAATTGAATGTGCTTGATACATATCAACCAATCAAAATGAAATGGACAGAAAATTCATTAAAAAGATGACAATTAATTTATATTTATTTGACATTTGAAAAAATACAAAAAGCATGCTAATTTTAAATATTATCATGTTAGCAAAAGAAAATGAAAGTGTGCCATCAATATGACATTGATTCTGAGCACTGGATGATAAAATGTGGAGAATCATGACAGGAGAACAGTGGCTTCAATATTCAAGGAGATAAAAATCTATAAGACTTGTGTTTTCCTCAGTGTACCATGTAAAAAGTCATTGTAAATAGACTTGTATGGATGAGGTCTCTTGTGTCCATTTAGTACCAATTTTTCCATAGAAAATAAGTAAAAATGCATAAACTTGCAAAATGTTGCTCCAGTATTGTGGCGGGAAAGTGAATGGTGTTCAAATGGTACAAAAGCATGTAGGTAGGTACCGACTCTTACACAGAATGTGCACACAATCAAGTTCAATTTGTATGGTTTTCTTTTTCAAAATTGTCTTTCTTTTCAACATTAAGCTAATCGATAATTTCACCAATTCAAAATGTAACTAATTTAAAATAAAGCATAGTCACACAATGAAGATTGTTGTACTTTGGCTGAGATGAAGTTTTTGTTAATTTGTGCTTTGAGTCAAATTCGCTAAAATATCATGTCACTATTTCAAAGTGTTGTACAGTAAAGTGTTCTAATCTAATAATTTTAATTTTTATCTTTTTTGATGGTGACGTTTATACATAATTTGATAGATGCATGGAACTTACCATAAATCTGTGTACTCCGCCCTGATTGGCAGTCTCCTTGGGTTTGAGTACACCAATATCAACCAGATTGTTACAGAACACTAACGCTACCGATCTCATGATTTGTTGATCACTGTTCCCAGCAGACGAACACAACCAGTCCACAAGCATCTTACCTATCAACAAACAATAATATACCATATTTGCTCTATTAGTAGTGCACACATTTATGTAAATTACAAAGGTGTTTCACAGGTATGCACAGCAAAAGTATGCACAGCAAAATGGACATAATTTTCTATTACAGGTCTAGATCAAAATTTGGGGAAAAATCTGTGAACAATGTAAATTATCTTATTTTGTGAATAGTGACAAAAGTCGACATTGACGCTCAAAGGGTCAAACCAACAATGGAAAATACAACAAAAATGCATTTTTTTTTCAGAGTTTTCCAAACGTTGTACAGTGACAAATAATCATATTTTCATCAGCATATAATCAATTATCACAAAATGACAGTAACATTGTAAAGATGATTAACACATTCATGGAATGAGTCAAGTTGAAGTGTTCAATAAACAGTCTCTTATGAACATATGTTTTACAATCGCCATGGAGATAAGGTCTCTCTATTAATTTACAACATGCCTCGATTGAGACTAAAAGATGTTATCAAGGTCAATGTCATTTGATAGCTGTGACTTACCTTCAAATGTCCCCATGTCTTGGAAACTAATTTTCACGTCCGGTTTAGTTTTTTCAACTGGTGTAGACTCTTCGATGACATCAACTGACTTTGACCCAAATAACCAACTCTTGAATTGATTTCTCCAACGTGACTGCGTGGGTGCTATCGGTTCTTTCATGTCTACTGACTTGGCTTTTGCCAGTTGACTGACTGCTTTTTCATTTTGTGGAAGATTGAATTGAGTCAGGGACTGAGGTCTTGATTTTGTAACAGTAAATGTCTGTCTGTTATCCATTGGTGACTGGTTCAATGGCAATATTTTCTCTTGACTCAACAGCTTCAAATCAACAGGTCTTTCCTGTTCGGTTTCCTGTTTGTTCTCCTTTTCCTTTACATTCGCAATCACAGTAGATTCAGCTTTTTCTGGACTGCTATTGAAGACACTATCATCAAAGTCTTCAGATGACGACTGGTTGATAAGTTTCTTCCTATGTTCTGTCGGTGACATACCAACTGTGAAAAGAGATTTCTTCTGGTCATCAGCACCGAACTGAAATGCACCTAGACATGACTTCCCTTCTAGAGGCGAAAACACTGAAGAATCGAATGACTGACTGAAATGAAACACTTTACTCTGCACGTTATTAACCATATCGTTATCGTTGAGTATCTGCTGCAGGGACATTCGTCGATTTAGCCGCAAATCGCCATTTTGTGCTTTGTGAACAGTTCTAGAAAGTTTAATCCCACTCTCAGATTGGCTACGAAAATTCAAATGTCCCAACATCTTGGAGGAAAAAACTGATGGAGGCCTGGTTGATTCAGAGTCATATTTTTTACGTTTCATTCCAGGCTGTACTGCAACATCCATGTTCTGAAGGTTAGATATCGTAGGCGACACTAATTGTCTGGTGGTTGTGATAGGATATTCAGTCTTTATATCTGGGTGCTTAATGCCATTATTTATTTTTGTACTTGCATCAATCTCTTCCAACACTGCTGTAATATTTTGGCTTTTTATCTCCAATTTATTAGGTCTTGTAGCTTCTCTCTTATTTTCTATTGGGGCATATTGGTTTTCCTCTGGCGTGTCCTGCTGCAGTTCTTCCATGCAGCCTGGCTGCGCAAACTGCATTTGTTGCTGTCTGTGTTGCAGCATCTCATCATGCGTTTGGTAAAATTCATTCAGGCTATCGTTAAATTTCGTTCCGTCATCGTAATTCGGTGACACTTCTTGAATTCTGGTCTTCTTTTCTCTATCCATATTCTGTTGATCTTTGTCCTTCGGTTGCTGGGATACGCAACCATCTTCATGCTTTGGGACACTCAGAGAATCATCCTCAAAATTCGAACAACTTCTGTGATCTCGGAGTGCCCAATACAAATGATCTTCTGTTTCTTCTTCATCTGGTTTCACCATGCGGTCCACGGTAATCAGATCAATATCATCAGGCGTGAGTGCTGGTAAATCAGTCTTCCAGTAATCTGATGGGCTGTAGTCATCATTCTCATCTGTTTCCATGGCAACTAATGATATTTATATCAGGGAACGATAAATGGCATGTCTGGCTGTCGAGACCGGGTAATGAGATTACCTGCTTGTGTGTAGAGTCAACATCTGTCTTTCACATTAAATCACTTGGGGATAAAAAATAAACCTGAAAATGAAGACAAACTGTTCGTAAAAAAGGAGAAATCAATATTTATTGGGCAGAATTGGATTTTTATATTAGTAGGACAGAACTGGAAGTAATAAACTAAATTGGATTTTAGTTAATTAGAAAATGAACAATGCTGTTTTCTTTATTTAATTTCATAATTTGTAATTTGATATTTTTCATATTTAATATAATCGTAGAATTGAAAATACAAATTTCATAAAAAATAATAATTTTATGAATAACCTTTGGAGAATAATACTAATAACACCGATGTCAAATATCTATATTATAAAGATAAAAAATGTGTCATATTTAAATTCCTACTAAATTTAATTAAAAAAATGAGTGTAAGAGTAATTATTGTGGTACAATTTTTCCTCAATCAGATTTGTAACTGAACATACAGAGTACTTTGATACAAAAACCATACATCTAAGTATGGAGACACATTGCAGGGGTGCCAACTTGTTATCAAATAGCAGTTCAATGTAAACCAGGGGCAGTCAAATACAAGCCCCCCCCCCATCCTGTCCATTATTAAAGTTGCATTTTTAGATCGTAAAATCTTTAAACAGACAATAATGGGTTCGTGTAAGCGATATATGCACTTACGGTGATGCGCGAATGGCGAGTGTAAACAAAACGTACCATAATTATGAGACATTATTCAAATATAGATATTTTTTGACATAAAAAATGTAGGTATATAGACGTATGCCAGGTCATTTTATTTATTAAGGAGGTTAACCTTTTCACCACCAGTTCCCTCTTTTCATCACAAATTCACAAAATAGTCCAGTTTATAAGTCTGCAATTTCCTTCAGAAGATTTAGACAAAAATAGCCAAATTGGTTTGAGTAATAACTGAAAATTGACCCAAATATTGTCTGTTGACTCCAAAATCAAGGTTCATTCCAGAAATATTGAAGAATAAAAGAAAAAATGTGAAAAATTTTGTCTAAAAAGTCTGGTGGAGAAAAGCTTAAGGCTATATTAAAGATTGTTATCTTCTTTTCATTATTATTGTCATGTCAATGAAATAACAAAAAAATAAATTAGGGACCTTGACAATTTAAAAATAAGGGTCTGAAACGTCATAGAAAATGTTCAAAATTTGTATTTTTGGTTACTATGGTGAAATGATTTCTTCATATCTCAAAATATTTGCACAGTAACATGCCCAGTAGTGTAAAATTTTGGTTTGAACTCCCCCTCAAACGATGTTTTCAATTTAATTTTCTGTTGGATGTTTTTCTTTAATCTCAAACTCAATGTAAGAATTTATCACATACATCATATTCCATTTATTTGAAATTAAATACCATCAACTGGCAGAAATATTGAATTTCTTTTCATATTAAACGAGAAATGAATAGACATTGAACAAATTCTATTCATGTCTCTGTTCAATGACACAAAAGAATTAACTATCATGCATGCAGTGTATTGGTCTATGTGACATCGGTTCAAAGGTCATGTCACATTTGGATGCTGCTGATGAAAGCGATTATTGAACTTAATAGAAATACATAGTGTCTAAATTATCTAACAGCCACAAGATGTCAGTTTTAACAGTTATGCATATTGAATTCAAAACATGCGACTCAACATTGACCAATCACAGTTGATGCTATTAGTGCACATATTCAAAACATGTGACTCAACATTGACCAATCACAGTTGATGCTATTAGTGCACATATTCAAAACATGTGACTCAATATTGACCAATCACAATTGACGATATTCATGCACATATTCAAAACATGTGACTCAACATTGACCAATCACAGTTGATGCTTAGTGCACATATTCAAACCATGTGACTCAATATTGACCAATCACAGTTGATGCTATTAGTGCACATATTCAAAACATGTGACTCAACACTGACCAATCACAGTTAACGCTATATAATTAGAGCATATACTCAAAGTATAAATGTAGACATATTGCTGTAACACATTAAAATATTTAAACTGCTATACCTGGTACTTAATTAATGTACTACATTCTGTTTATCTTGGGTCTGTATATTTGTTGTCAACTTAAACATACAACTGCCATATATATTGAGAATTTTTGGTAATCCTTCTCAAATGCTTGTAGATTAGCATCTGATGTGGTTCACAGGGTTTGTCTGATTTCTCGTTATTTACGCTCATTGAAGCAAGCTGAAATAGACGTTGTCTTAATTATGAGCACATGGTTAATGTAAATATGTTTAAATTCTGATGTTTAAATTGCGTTTTATTAGAAGAAAATGTTGAATAATTAACATTTCCACTAAATGTCAACTCAACCAATAACTCTTAATTATTCAAATTCCAAGATTAGCAGAGTCGTTATCACATTACCACAGTTGTAATATATAGGGCAAGAAAAAAAATGTATCTTGCCAGTCTGTTTTCTAAAATAAACGTGCACGACAGCTTTTTATTTCTTCTGAAACTGTCATTAAATATGTAATTTTTCATGAATTTTTTGTTTTATACCTGAAAAAAGCCGTGATGTGTATATTTGTAACTGACACATTTGGTGACAACATTTTTTGTTTGTTTTTAGATTCATAGTAGCACCCGCTATAAGCAAGAAAATTGGGCAAGAGTTTTACTACTTTTACATTTCTTTGATTTCACAACGAGATACCACAAGATTTTGACAAGCCACAAGAATTGGTTACATAGTTTGTTATAAAATTTGTTTCAAAAATTACTAACACGGTGACATCAAACGTGTGATTGACAGTCACACATAATAAAAAACAAAACGTAAAAACATTCCTTATTTTATTCAGACTGTACGCTGTGGCAGATTTACATAATCAAAAAAGCAATCCATAAGTTTGAGCATGGAGCACTTGTTTGCACTGGATTAGTTTTCCATATTAAATATTTTGTCAAGATGGCTGAGCATGGAGCTGAGTTGTTATTATAAATATACATATAGTTTGTACCAGGGAAGTATTCAAATCACCTCAATGTATGTTATTGAAAGTTGGTTACAGCAAATGTCTTTCAATTGGTCAATGAGGTGGAGTACATTGGTAGAATGCTAGCCATACATATTCAATCTCTTGTTGAAGAAAACTGGAAGATTGATTTGCCACAGAATGACCATTTTGCTGAGCAGGTATGTATAACCGTTGACAGTACTACCTGTCGTATAACCAATTTCTAACATGGCTACAGTTACAGTTGCGTTTATGTCAACTCAACCATAACTTAGAACTTTTGTCGATTATATGTTAATTTTGCAAATTTATGTGGTGGACAGAAATAAAATAATTTGTTGATGTTGCTCAACTTCAACGATTTGCATTTAGTCGACTATATCATGGTAGGAAAGTCTTCAGGCATAATGACTGTTTTTAACGTTTTGATCTTTGACCAAACAATGTCATACAGTAATGAATAATTTATAAATGTTTTGTTAAACATCTAAGAACAGTAATTTATAACCTACCTCTATGTGTAATAAAATAATAAGACCAGTGTCTACTGTGAAATATTTTAGTTGGTATTAATTTTTCACTGAAAAGACTTTTTGGGTGTTTTGTATGGAATTTATTTTCACTGATTTTGGCGGGTTGAATGTTAAATGTAGGATTTCATTTTCACTGAATCATTCCTTCACTGGAAATAGCAAAAAAAAAGTATTTTACAGTATATGAATATGTAGACTTGCTTACAACTTGACGTCTATTTGTTTACTGCATATATATCGGAGTGACGGTGAGCTTTTCAATTTCTGTTTCAGTTTTTTGAACGCACAGTTCATTTCACATGTCGGACTATCATTCTCAGGTGTAAACGATTTAAGCGAGCGATCTCACAGGTGTCCACCCAGAGCAAGGCCAACATATTCCGTCCAGAACGCTGCGTAGCCGCTCGAAATTACGATACAGTAAAGCAAGTGAATGCATAAAAGCTGCGAAACTCCACACATCGAATTCTAGTGAAATAAACCCGTGGGCCTCTCTCTGTATGCACTTCGCGGTCACGATGTCAATATTGCAGGCGGACAAAATGATGGAGTAGTTCATCGATGGGTGGGGTGCGGTGACCGCATCGCCGTCGATGACAACCGTCAACGTTCGGCCGCGGAAATTCACAATTATCTACTGATTGACAGTATTTAATGCACATCAACATCACCACTTACCTGTACTAATACTTAAATGGCGCGATCACTGCACATACAATTTCTGGACGATATGCTGAGTGCTCAGGCAGAATGACATTTCACCCGTCTTTTCGAATCAAGTTTCTTATTCACAGCGGTGGTGGCGCCTTCTCCCAGCATGCATTCTTATAATTTATATGAAAGTGAGGTCAGTTCATCGAATTTAGGGTCAACTCTGTGTGAAAGCTTAAAAACATAAAAGATGAGAAGTGACTTCCTGTTTTGCTTTAAATCATATTAATCTTATCTCAATTCCTGATATGACATGTCAATATTAATGGCCCTCATCACCATGGTAATATCGGGGACGTTATATTTCACCATGGCTTGTAATTGTTTTTGTATAACTTTATATTCTCCCAGTATACAAACAATATTCAAATATTCAAACTAATATTTTTTATAAATTAAATTTGACTTTTCGTCTGTTATTTTCCAGTTTCAAAAAATATTGGATCGATTGAGTCTCCATCTCTCGTCAATTGATGCTGTTCTGTGCAACCTGTTGTGTATTTTAAATAAGTGGAATAACTAATTTTGTATATAAATATATATTTGTATTCATTATTGTTATGTATAATTTATTTATTTGTAGTTTGTTTTATTGTGAACAGGGTCCTATGGGGGTTCGATGTTTTTTGTATTCAATGAATAGGCTACCCTGGATAAATATGGCCATAAGTTAATTAATTATTAATAAAGATATTTCGTCACCTGGTATGCATAGTTCAAACTATAACGAATCGCCAACACATCAATTTAGACTACAGATTTGAATCAAATCTATCTGCTATGAATACTAACCATATGGTTTGTATCACTTCAGAAATTCTGCACATAAACTTTCAAATAAAACGATAATATTGCAGAATTCCCTGACAAGAGGGAATGCGTTCGACATTTACTGACCGAGTTGTTGGAAACGACTCGATTTGATTGTATGAAGTGTCATTATGAATAAAATAAAATATCTTCAAAAACGAATGTTCGGAAAAGTTCGGTGCCAGCAGTCTTGCAAAATCTACCCATCTCAAAATACTGACAGTCAGATCCATGCATTGGGCGTATTTTTTGTTCAATTATACATAACCCGTTTTAGAAAGCACATATATTTGTTATGAAAAAGGACAAAGGTCATGGGCCACAGAAATTAAAGAACTGCTATTTAAATATGGATTTGGTTATGTCTGGTTTAATCAAGGAGTGGGGGACTCTGATATGTTCTTGTATAAAGTTTGTGAACGGGTCAAAGATACTGGAATTACAGATTGGTATATAGACGTTTGTTCTGGCGAAAAAACGCAGTATTATAGGCAATACAAAACAAATTTTGGGATTGAAAACTATGTGGCATTGCCACAATTAAAATTGCGCAGAGCAATAGCAAGATTAAGATGTGCGTGCCACCCCTTAGAAATAGAAAGAGGCAGACATAATAATATCCCTAGGGAGGGCCGTATTTGTCATTTGTGTCTGCAAGAAATTGATGATGAATATCATTTTTTACTAAAATGCACTGCATGGGACACAATCAGGAAAAAGTATCTTCCAAATGAGACACAACCCCCAAATTTGAATACTCTAGTACAACTATTAAGTTCCTCTAAAAGCCAAATCATTAACTCGTTGGCTCTATTTATTTATAAGTGTTTTTTTAATCAAAGATCAAATGAGAATAACCTAATAAGCTTGTATATATTAATATCCCCATCACATTATTATATAGGGCTTATATTATGTATTGACACTCTCTTCATCTATATTTTCATACATGTTTTGTAATGTAAATTTATTTCTTGTCAATAATTAAATTGCATGATTGTAATGGGCCGGAGGCCATTATACAATTAATAAAATTATAAAATTATATCTGTTATATTCAAACTCGGATTTTCTGCATTTCGACGCCAAGGTCGTATTAAACAGGTTAAAATATTCAGTAAATCTGCAGTGGGCGTACAATGCAAAAACATTTGTAACAAAAAAAAAATACTTCTACATATATTGGGTCTTCAGAAATTATTTGAGTTAAAGTTTTAATAAAATTACCTATGAAGACAATGATTAGTAAAGTAGCAGAAAACAAAATACTAGTAGTAGTGGCTAACTATCGTCCGAATCGCACGGTTTGTTGGTGCCGACTCCTCCAGTTCAGAGGGGTGACCCGAAACAAACGTTCCTTGGCTGGCGAAGATGGCGGGTAACAGGAATCTGAAATACCCGGTAGCTAGTAACAGTAAGCAATGACGTCACATGTTTCACCCATAGGTCATCAAACAAAATATAAAACTGGTCGAATGCCTTAACATCGTTGCACGAATACACATTTTTCCATACCTGAAAAATTCGATTTAAAACTTTCAGGCTTCTTATATTGTATTTTTAATGAATGAAAATTCGTTTTACATGGGACATTTTCGAATCCTGTAACAGGTCAGGAAATGACCCGAAACGCCCGCGGCGATAACCCCGGCATTTGTACAGCCTCGATTTAGATTAGAATAAATATTTGTACTCTCAGTATTTGTGAAATGAGTTGGTGTAAAGAACGACTTTGGAGAATTGCAACCAAATTATCAATATAATATGATTTTGATAGATCAATATTAAAGTTGTCCATTAGTACACAATAATGGCAACTATAGATGTGTTTTTTTTCATTATATATCTCAAGCCAGACATTCTAGCATGTTTTGCTTTACAATTATGAATTTTATATTCGAGGAATGGAATGAATATATGAACAAATTCCACCGCACCGGCCACCATGTCTGCCACTGTATTCAAACGAATAAGACTGTGCATATAGAAAAGTCATGTCTCCGATAAGCCAATAATTTTGAAATTACAATGTAGGCAATTTTCAAACAGCGTAACATATTCGGCAAATAAACCATTCGACGTAAAATTCTAGTTCGGTCATATATTTCCGTTTTAGGAAACAAACAGCCGTTTTGCACATTCGAACAGTCTTCTTTTCAATATCGAAGGCGTAAACAGCATACCAATTCAGTGGCGGATCCAGAGGGGGGCCAGGGGAGGGGGCATGGCCCCCTCCGAACGCATGACGATTCATATCATCTGGATTACGCATAACTTCTCTGCGATTTACGCTCCGTAATTTTAAGCGTAGCTTGGCCCCCTCCAATACATTTTGCTGGATCCGCCACTGTACCAATTTCAATATTACCAGTAAACACACCATTCTAAAACACGTCTCAAAATATCACCCAACAGAGAAGTAATTTTAGTTATATGAAACATGTCCATTTTAGAAAGCAAACGACCGTTTTTACTCTCATACTTTCTTCGTTTCAACCTTTTCAACGCCGAGGCGTAAAAAAACAAAAAAGTCGGGAAACGTACAAATAAACCCTTTCTGGTTGATAGATTTAATTAATCTAAAACATATCTCAAAATCCTACCACGTATAATTTACCGAATAGTATTTAGATGTATATGACCGTTAATGTTTCTGTCACCTGATTTCTATTTGTAAGCTATGCACAAGACTTATCCAATCGTAAGTATTGCTGCTAGGCATAATTGACTTACTAGACTATTACTCAGTTGTTTGTTGGGGAGAAGAATGAATAAATTAACTAACTCGTAATAACAAGTCATAAACTTGTTGAAACGAGTTACTAACATGAACTAACGAGACACTAGCACGTTATTACAAGTTGGTATGTTGTTAATACGAGATATTACTTTATTATTATTATTATTATTACGAGTTAATATTTGTGTTTTTTTCTACTTTCACATAACGAGCTTCTTCTGTAAAGAATTCGGTGTGTGCCTGTGAGTAACAACCAGTGTATGAGAAAGACTATTGCATCCTAAGGCACTTGGTAAAATGGCATGTCTTCTTTTTGTTACGAGTTAATATTTGTGTTTTTTCTACTTTCACATAACGAGCTTCTTCTGTAAAGAATTCGGTGTGCCTGTGAGTAACAACCAGTGTATGAGAAAGACTATTGCATCCTAAGGCTCTTGGTAAAATGGCATGTCTTCTTTTTGTTACGAGTTAATATTTGTGTTTTTTCTACTTTCACATAACGAGCTTCTTCTGTAAAGAATTCGGTGTGTGCCTGTGAGTAACAACCAGTGTATGAGAAAGACTATTGCATCCTAAGGCACTTGGTAAAATGGCATGTCTTCTTTTTGCGTATTAAAAAAATAGCATGCGTCCCATAAATGTTTAAAATGATGCCTGGGTCGAAATAAAATTAATTTTTATTAATTAAAATAACAATATTCTGTACATCACACATACCAAACATTTCCGTCTTTGCCAAAGATGCAACATGTACCGACAAATACGCTCTTGATGGCACCTTTAGCATCATATCACAGTGATGGCAAATCTGCTGATGACTTGATTGAACATTTTCACACACTGCTACGTATTTTGTTAGCGTACGATGAATAAATCCTGAGTATTTTTTGTGCTTCGGGGGAGAGGCAGCATTCGGTCATGGTGTTGTTCAACTGAGACGAATACAGGATGACCGAATTTTACGGGGAAAAAACGTATAATTGATAAAGATGAAGAGAGATGATGGATAACACAGACAAAACTCAGTAGTCCATGCCCGCTACCTCAATAATATGAATTTTGTGATAAAAAAAAACCTCTTAATCAGTTTACAAATTAAATCTTACCCTTCAAATATGATAAATATTCAATTTGAGTATATTCAAAACATTGTCACTTTCTAGTCGGTAGGAGAGAATCGAAATATAAAAAAATTGCCAGTAAGGTATACTAATTTTGAAATGCACATGCATTGGGGTTAGACATATACTGTATAATCTGTGGTACGAGTTAGGAGTTTATTTTTTTCCTAAAAAGAACAAATTAAATGTTTGGTTTTATCAGAACAGGATTTTCGGCGCGAATGTAAAATAATCCTAAAATGACGTGATTTTATAGGGGTGTCATTATTGTAAGAATTGAAAGACTTGTAGCTTCAAGAATTCGGGCAGATTACTGTCATTAGTTTTATCGTGGAGCTATGTAAAAGCTCTTATTTCAGCTCATTTTTTTTATCAAAGACACCAGTACCTGGACGTTATTATCAACCATCGTTTTATTGACAACCGGCAATTTGATTTGATTGAGCGCCACCAAGAGGCACGGTTCATAACTTCTGAAAACCAAGATGGCGGCGCCCATCACACGCCGTGCGTTCCTAGATTTGTGTATGTATTTGTCTCGTTTAACCCGAATTATTTACAGCTAGTGTCTGGATTGTACTCCATTATTGATTCCCTGTGGTCGGAAAGATATAATTTCGTGTTGTTGGTGATCTGTCATCAAAATGTTGCCGATTTATCATTCACTCCGTGTCAACGGCTGCAGACGAACTTTATTACGAGTTGACTTGCTTAGACAATCGTGTATGTTATTTACTACTTCGAGTTCATCAAATCAACATTCAGAGTTGATGCATTTCTTAAATGGGAGGAATATTTTTCAAAGATACTGTCAGTGTCCTAAAACTACGTCAAGGACAACTGCAATGCTATCTGAACATTGTCGGCGCTTCGCCAGTGGCCGAGAGGTGCAGACAGACGACGGCGCGTTCTTCGTACGTGAAGGCGCTAAGAAACGAGATACCATTCAGCGTAAATATAGGAAAACCCTCGATCCGAGTAAAATAGGTCAGGGCAAAGGGAAAAAAATTGTAAATATCAAAAAGGAAATGAAGATAGAAGACCTGGCAACCGCAATGGATGTTGATAATGGTCAGTGTTACCGGTACTTCAGTAATCTCAAATGTTACATTTGTAATCTCATAATAGCAAAGCCCACTAAAATAGATATTGAGATATGATCTCGGTAAATGAAATCAGTAAAACTGAACAAATACGACTGCAATTTATTTAAAGCTCTTCAACTTGATACAGCTCAGTTGTCAATGTTTCTACTTTTCAGACCACGTTTATGAAGCTCTGTTGATAAGAAAGGATAGTGATGACTTTGACTTCGAACCACATACAGGTAAAATCGAGTTTCGAGTACACAATCTATTGTATATTTTCATCCTCGTATCTTATGAGTCAGCAATAGTACATAGAGAACACTATAAAAAGGAAAGGTGATTGCACGTTAAATTAAACCAAGATGTAACATTAGTGTCTATTGATAACAGCATTTTTGCTCTCTGTTTCTGTCAAACATAGTACTAAAAGAGCCTGTGATCATCGATGTCATTAAGAAATCAGGTATGCTGTACCAGTATGCTAAATTAAAGGAAGATAAACCCAGGAAGAATAAAGACGTATTTAAACGGTTAGTTATGATTTTCCAGTTGCTTTCACTGAAACATTATCATTTTAGCAAAAATGCAAAAGAATAACTGTCTTCCAAATTATAATAATTAAAGTGTCAGTTGTCCAGAATGAAATGATGTCAGAAACTCACAATATTTATATTTATATGGATATGTTTGGATTGTTAAACTCTTAATTTTTAATGTACTCTGTTTTATATTGTCCATCGGATCTGCTTGATTGCCCTACTCTCCATCGTTAGAATCGCATGGTTTGCCAACTATTCATTACAAGCTTTGTTCAGGACCGATGTCCACTGATCATGAACACATTTTATGTAGGCCACCGGCTGATCCGGATGACATGGTGAGCCGTCCAGCTGTAGTGACCGTGATGGGGCACGTAGATCATGGTAAAACGTCTCTGCTCGATACATTGCGAAAGACATCAGTAGCTGCCGGAGAAGCTGGAGGCATAACACAGCATATAGGTGCTTTTTCAGGTGAGATTTAATTAGCTAAACTAAAGATGCAGATGATTGCATTTCAATCCTCTTTGATTTAGTTTCACAGTAATAGTGTTTGATCATAACAACATGCTCATCTGCATTAATACTAATAATGCTTAGCCGTTCTTTCCACCATGTTAAATTGAAACAGTGCCCTCAGTGTTCAACTTTTTTTCCAATATTTAACTCATCACCTACTGATCATGTGTGTGACTTTAGTCACTTTGAGCGTGATTAAAAATAACATTTTTGTTCCAATAGCTAAATGTGTAATATACGTTGAATAATTCAGTCTTCCTGCGATCATTGCTGTTTTCATGTCAGTATCGTCATCATTTTTTTCAACAGTTAAGTTACCATCCATGGAAGTGATAACATTTTTAGATACTCCAGGACATGCAGCTTTTTCAGCGATGAGAGCCCGTGGTGCACACGTCACTGATATTGTAGTGTTAGTCGTAGCCGCTGATGATGGTGTCATGGGTCAAACTATCGAGTCAATACACCACGCAACTCACTCACAAGGTTTGAAAAGTATTTTTGTTGCCATTTCTTAATGTTTTGGGATATTTTCTATTATGATTTTAGACTAAGTCGAATTGAATGCATATGTTGGGTTTATACTGGACCCTAACAATGGAGCTCAGTCCCTTTTAAAAGTTGAATTGTTGACAAATTTTTGTTTGAAGCAGTTGACATATCTAGTAATATGTGTACTTTAATAAATGCAACTTCTATAATATTCGCAAGATATCTGTCTTGCCAATAGCCATATATCACTGAGCAGTATCGTGGATTCGGATGTGGTTGAGTTTCATTTTGGAATGAAAGTCACCCAATCGATTTTCTGTTCGACAGTTGAAAATAGACTCCACTACAAAATAAATGATTGATGTGAGTCATTTTTCATTAAGAATATTCTGTAATGCATACCTTGAGTTATTTTCTGGATAGCCAGGTCTCTCTGCATGCAAGCAAACATGGAAATCAAACATTATGTACTTCCTAGAATTCAAGTAGCAATGCATGATGGGATTATTCTGTAATGCATACCTTGAGTTATTTTCTGGATAGCCAGGTCTCTCTGCATGCAAGCAAACATGGAAATCAAACATTATGTACTTCCTAGAATTCAAGTAGCAATGCATGATGGGATCATTCTGTAATGCATACCTTGAGTTATTTTCTGGATAGCCAGGTCTCTCTGCATGCAAGCAAACATGGAAATCAAACATTATGTACTTCCTAGAATTCAAGTAGCAATGCATGATGGGATTATTCTGTAATGCATACCTTGAGTTATTTTATGGATAGTCAGGTCTCTCTGCATGCAAGCAAACATGGAAATCAAACATTATGTACTTCCTAGAATTCAAGTAGCAATGCATGATGGGA